AAAAAATCTTACCTCTAAATGAAGGGTGGAAAGGAGACATATTTCCCATTTCGGAGTATAGTTGAAGAGCGATGAAGATGAAAATCACTGGCAGTTCAGGAGAACTGGGTTTATGAGAATCAATTATAATCTTTAAATCTTCCCATTCTTACTTAGGCTTATTGGATACTTAGTTCTGGGATCCCACTTTGAGCCAGTCAGAGGCAAAAGAAAAAAAAAAGAGAAAAAAATCCCTTTGCATTTGCAATACTAGATAACCATGTCCCAACAAGGATAGTATGCTGGGATAAATCAGCAAAAGCCTTAGCTGTTTCTGAAGTAATCCTAAAGATCAACAGAAGAAATGACTTGAAGTGGATGGATAAAATTCTTAAAATAATCCTGCCAAGCTCTGTGGAATTCCTTCATGACACCTTTATATATCCCAGCCTTTCACCAAGAAGATTGGAAAGTTTTACCCAAACATGCTGTGTGCTGTTGGGAGGGAACTCAGCAGCTGCAGGAGGGCCTAGGTTTGGTTACATCTTTCCAATGACTTTTGACAGGAGAAAGTTCCACTGGTGCTTATAAAATACTGGAGAGATAGTTTAAGCAAGTTTCAATGGGACACAGTCACAGTAACTTTTCTCAGTCCATTGGAAATGATAGAGAAAGGGAGCTGACCCAGTAAACCAGGTCAGTACCAGCTTACCTAGAAAGTTGCTCAGTAGGCTGAATGGGGGAGTGGTAGAGAAGGGAGGGTACAACGCCAGAAGAGCTTAAGCAGATGGAGTATCTAACAGTCAGGGCCCAGTCTGGCTATCGAGCAAGGTCATTGGCAATTGGTGCTGTGGATTGTTAATAAGAGCAAGTTTTGATGGAGTAATGCAGGATGGGATATATTCACTGTAAGGAACCAAGACCAGAAGTACAGTCAGGGTTGGTGGTGGAGAAAATAATGAGCCAGAAGCTAGGGTGGGAGCTTCACATCATCATCTTAAATTTTATCAAGAATCTTCCTTCTGTAGCCTTCTTCCTCCTGGTCCACTATCCCCAGAATTTGAGAGTTGTATTGCTGTTTTGTTGTAACAAGGTCATTGAGGCTGAGGATTTTATAAAGAGGCTTATTTAGTTCATGGCTTTGGAAGCTTAAAATCTAAATTTGGACAGCTCTATCTTTATAGCTTCTAGTGGGGAATCTCTCCAGTTATGTCATACTATGGCAAACAGGTAGAAAGGGAAATAGCATGCACAAGGAACCAAGTGTTGTGGGATGGCCTTACTTTATAGCAATCCATCCTATCAAGAACTAACTCACCTTGCAAGACCCACACTAATCCCCTCCAAGGCCAACATCCACAATGACATCATTACCTTGCAGTAGGCCCCACTCCTTAAATGTACCACTGTATCCACACTGCCACACTGAGGACTAAGCCTCCAGCACATGACCCTTTAGGGGATACACCACATCAAGCCTAGAGCAACAGCAAAATACCAGGAAGAAACTATATGCAAAGGAAATTGCTGCTTGACCAGAAATTTCTGTTCTGCCCATTATCCAGAAAAATAGTATTGAGAACATCTTTTTTCAAATTGAAATAGAATTGATGCACAAAAACTGCACACTTAAATGTGTACAATTTACTAATTTACACACACATTTGCACATACACAAAGCCACCACCATAATCACAATAGTAACAGTATCCATCACTTGGATGGATACTGACCTTTTTTGGACCTTCCTGAATCCCGTCTCTGACCCTCACCTCACTTCATCTCTTCTTGTTTCTACTTTGGGCTGATTTCTGCATAATACACTAATTTGTTATGAAATAAATTATATAGTACATATATCATTATTTTTTGAGTCTGGCTTCTTTCTTGAGATTCATCCATGCTTTATGTGTGCTTTAGAGTTCATTCCTTTTTATGCAAGAGTAATATTTTATCATAAGAATAGGAATATTATTGCTTATCCAGTTATTTGTGCATGTACATTGTTTCTTAAGTCTTTTTTGTTGTTGTTGTTGGTTGTGGGGCTTGAACTCTGGGCCTGGGCACTGTCCCTCAGCTCTTCAGCTCAAGAAGAGTGCTCTACCACTTGAGCCACAGTGCCACTTCTGGTTTTCTGGAGATAAGAGTGTCATGGGCTTTCCTGCCCAGGCTGGCTTTGAACTGTGATTCTCAGATCTCAGCCTCCTGAGTAGCTAGGATTACAGGTGTGAGCCACCGGGCCTGGCTGTTAAGTCTTTCTTTTATGTGTGTAATTGTCTAGAGGCAAGAGGCATGGGTCATAAAGGCATTATATATTTAAGCTTTGTTTTATCTTCTTTTTTTTTTATGGGGAAGGGCAGTCCTGGGACTTGAACTCAGGGCCTGGGCACTGTCCCTAAGCTTTTTGCTCAAGGTTAGCACACTACTACTTGAGCCACAGCACCACTTCCGGCTTTTTCTGTTTATGTGGTACTGAGGAATTGAACCCAGGGCTTCATGTATGCTAGGCAGGTACTCTACCACTAAGCCACATTCCAGTCCTTAAGCTTTGTTTTAAAAGCTTGAACTCTGGGCTTCAATTTTTCACTTGGCTTTGTTGCTTATGGTTGGTACTCTGCCACTCAAGCCATACCTTTAGTCCAGCTTTTTTTCTGGGTAATTGAAGATAGAGTCTCGTGAACTATTCTGTCTGGGATAGTTTTGAACCTGATCCTCCAGATTTCAGCATCCTGAGTAGCTAGGATTATAAACATGAGCCATTGATGCCAAGCAGTATTGATGTAGTTAAGAAAGCAATTAACTGTTTTTCATTGGGTTGTAGCATTTTAGATTGATACACTGGCAAGACACATTGTTTCCTCTACAGTTTCACCAACAATTATAATCTCAGTCATTCTAATAGAGGTGCTGCAATATGTTGAGTCTCCCTAATAACTGATGTTATCTTTCTTTAAAAATTTTATTTTATTGTAAAGATGCTATACAGAGGGGTTACAGTTATATGAGTAAGGTAATGAGTACATTTCTTATTGAGCATTGTTACCTCCTCCTTTGTTTTTCTCCTTCTATTCCTTATCTTCTCCACCTCCCCCTCTCCTCCGTGCCCACGAAGTTGTAGAGTTCATTTCCAGCAGTGTCTTGTGAGTATCATTGTTGCAATGGGTCATGCTGTGTCCTTGTTTCAGCATTTTGTTATTCCTCTTCTCCCCAAATAAATAAATACATATATAATGCAGTATACCAAAATCAAATACAGCAACAACAAGGGATATACCAAAGGGGGAAGAACATACAAAAGAAACAAAAATCACGTAGTATATTAAAAGCCCCAATAACAAAGGAAAACCTCTTGTGTCCATATCTTGGGGTTCATTTCACTTAGCATCATCTTACAACAGACAAGGGATTCATATCTAAAATATACCTAGAATTCAAAAAATTAAAACCCCCAAACAAATCTTCAAAGAAACAACTGCCCTATTAATAAGTGGACTACACCTGTTTTCACTGTACTTGATTTTGGTACCCTGTATCTTGTATATACATTTGGAGAGGGGAAGAAGAATAACAAAATGCTGAAACAAGGATACAGGATGACCAATTGCAACAATGATACTAACAAGACAGGATGTTAGAAATGAACTTTACAACTTTTGGGTGAGGAGTAAGGGAAGTAGGGGAGGAAAGGATAGTGGAGAACAAGAAAGGAAGGGGTAACAATGCTGGACAAGAAATGAACTCATTACCTTACTCATGTAACTGTAACCCCTCTGTACAGCATCTTTACAATAAAATAAAATTAAAAGAATAAGTGGGCTACAGACTTAAAGAGAAACTTCTCTGAAGAGGAAATAAGAATGGCCAATAGACACGAAGAAATGCTCAACTTCTCTAGCCATAAAAGAAATACAAATCAAAACAACATTGAAATTCCACCTCTCCCCAGTTAGAATGGCTATAATCAAGAAATCTAATAACAACAAATGCTGGAGGGAATGTGGCCAAAAGGGAGCCCTACTGCACTGTTAGTTGGAGTGCAAGCTTGTTCAACCACTCTGGACAGCAGTATGGAAGTTTCCCAAAGACTCCACACTTCTGGGCATTTACCCAAACAATCACAAACAAGGCCATACTAAAGCTACCAGCACAACTATGTTTATCACAGCATTATTCACCCATAGTTAAGATATGGAACTAACCCAGATACCCTTCAATAGATGAATGGATCAAGAAAATGTGGCATATATATGTATATATATCTACATATCTACATATATAATGGAATTCTATCCTTCTGTCAGAAAGAATGATACCACCTCATTTTTTAGGAAGTGGAAAGACTTGGAAAAAATCATTTTAAGTGAAGTAAGCCAGACACAAAGAAACATAGGTCCCATGGTTTCCCTTATTTGCAATAATTAGTATACATCTAGGATAATCTTATCAGATGAGCAGAAAAGCTCAAAAGCTCTATACATATGACTATATAAGATGATGCTAGCTGGGTGTTGGTGGCTGGCACCTGTAATCCTAGCTACTCAGGATGCTGAGATTTGAGAATCAAGGTTCAAAGACAGCCTGGGCGGGAAACTTCATGAGACTCTTATCTACAATAAACAACTCAGAAAATCATAAGTGGTACTGTGGCTCAAGTGGTAGAGTGCTCACCTTGAGCTGAAGAGCTGAGGGATAGTGCCCAGGCCCAGAGTTCAAGCCCCATGACTGACAAAAAAAAAGGTGATGCTAAGCCAAATAATGTTATCTTAACATAACTATCTTTGTTATCTTGGCATAAAGTATCTTTATAATAATAGAATATAATAATAAGTATAATAATGATGATAAGTATATTCCCTATGTTGATGCACTCTTTTTTTGGTGTAAGTTTAAACTTTTGTTCATTGTTTTGAATGTTTACTATATAATTGAACTACATAGAGGGTTATGACCTAAATCTGGCTTTTGAGCAGCTGATAATCCGATGAAAAATCTTTGTATCTATTTAATCTTTTATTGCTATTAAATCTGCCATAGAGCGAGCTATTCATCACGAACAAGATGTGCTGAAGGAGCTTATCAAAGCTTGGAAAAATGCAGAAATTTGGCTTTGAACTGGTACTTTTCACTTGGTATTCTGCAGAAAATCACACTAAGGTAAAGTGAGAATAAGATAAATTCATGCTGGCAAAAGTGATAACAAAGCCTCAATATTTATACCCATGGCCTGGTACTTACTATGACTCCAAGGTGAACTGACGCTGGGTTTTGCCATTGATATTAGATCTCCAAATCCACAGGGACACATTCCACGACCCCCAGTGAATGCCTGAAGTTGTAGATAATCCTGAATTATTCATACCTTATATGTTTTCCTATACACACCCAGGATGATAGTTGATTTATGAAATTAGTCACAGTACAAGTAAAATAGAACAATTATGGTCATATAATGTAATAAAAATGGCTATTATTGATAGTCTTGCACTTTGAGGCCATTACTCAGTAAAATAAAGGTAAGGAAACTAAATGAAAATATTACAATGCGACAACAGTCCATCTGAAAACCAAGATGGCTACTTAATGACTAAGGGGCTAGTGAAGCAAGCAGTGTAGACGTACTGGAGAGAGGATGACTCATGTCCCAGCAGGAAGAAGCAGGAGGAGAGAGCTATCAATACATTCCATAGAACAGTGTGCAATTTAAGCGAAAAGAGTCATTTATTCCTGTAATTTTCCAGGTGGTATTTTCAGACTGAAATGTACATAAGTGTTCTACTGTAATTTGACTTCTTACTATGGATTGTGCCAGTTTTCGTGGAAATTAACTAATTTACTAATCTCAAGAAACGAATTCACCTTTACAGAAGAGGAAACTAATTCAGAGGGATAAATCAACTTGTCCAGGTCCATGGAAACAGGTAGGGATGGGAACAAGCACTGAAACAGGCCCTGCTACCAAAGTTGGATCACAGGAAGATCTTGATTCAGCCTCTGTCTTTTCCTGAAAGCGATCACCTGCTCCTAAACCCTTCTCCTTCCCACACTCCATGACCACAGCCTACATTACTCAGAAAGACTTGAGAAACTCCCTACCTTATTACCATCAACATTGACATACTTGACCTTTGTTTTCAATCCAGAACTTGCCCTGCATTTCACAAAATAAAAATCCAGCTGCCAGAACTGACGGTTGATGGTTAGAAGGAAACCATGCTCTCTACATTAGCACAGTCTGTAATCAGGATTCCTGTGTGGAATACCAGCTAGCTTGACATGTAAAGGGCTTTCAGACCTATCAAACAAGGGAACAGAAGAGAGGTCCCTTCCCCTTCCCCTCCCCTCTCCTTTCCCTTTTCCTTGCTCTCTCCTCTCCTCTCCTCTTCTCTCCTCTCCTCTCCTTTTCTTCTTTCTTTTTTTTTCTTGCTCTTCCAGATCAGATAACATTGCTGGATTAGTTCCTCTACAGTGAGTTCATACCACATCTACCCACATGCCAGCCTCTGCTAAAAGGCTATCAGCTATATTGCTTCCTGTGCAATTATTTATACTTTGCCTCATGCCCTCCCTTCTCCACCTCTGTTTCCTGCCCCTCTCCCCTGAAGTAGCACAAATGCTTGCAAAGAAAATGTGTCAACAGGTGAAATTTATAGGAGTTTCCTGGCCTACACAGAAATGAGACCACAGGCTTCCCCAAAGGAGAGATTTCCTTATACCCTGATTCAATCTCAGAGAATTCTCTAGAGAAATCACTTATCTTTTGTACAGAATCAGTGTATGGTGCTCTCATCTGGGAAAAGTGGCTCTGATGAATACCAGTTGAGATTATTTAGTTGCAATCACAGAAAACCCAACCCATACTGGCTTAGTCAGTCACAAAGGAATTTCTTAACTCACAGAAGCTGAAAAGAAGAGTCTAGCTTTAGGCGTAGCCCCATCCAGAGCTCCAGTGTATCATTAGCACCTGCTCATGTTTCCCTTCCTTCCATTGTGTTGATCTCAGCCCAGAGTCTTATGGGTACTCAAAATGGTTTCTTGAACCCATTCATTAGCTTATGTTCTAAGGTAGACTTTTCTTCTCCCCCCCTCCTCCCTCTCCTACTCCTCCCCCTCCTCCCTCCTCCTCTTCCTCATCCCTCCTCCTCTTCCTCTTGCTCAAGGCTGGCACTTGAGCCATAGTTGCACTTGTAGCTTTTTGGTGATTAATTGGAGATAAGAGTCTCATGGACTTTTCTACCAGAGCTGGCTATGAACATTGATTCTCAAATGTTGGCCTCCTGAGTAGCTAGGATTATAGGCATGAGCCACTGTTGCTGACAAGTCTCACTTCTTTACAGCATATGTAGTGGGAAATGTCTCTACATCCCATAGGCTCTGACTAACTCATAAAGGGTAATGATCATCAATGGACAGGGAAAGGAGACATGCCAATGGCTTAGGCCTAGGTCACATGCTCCATCCTGGGGTTCACACCCTAGTGCTGGGTGTTGAAGCAGCTTTAATGGAACTGCATGGAAACCTGGGACTGTTACCAGGGGGACACTGGCAATGTTGACCAATGGTGTGTCTTTACCTTGTAAGAAATGATATGCATATGTCACATAATGTTTTCTGTCCACTGCACAAGCCAGCCATTCTTTGAAATGCCCCATTATTTACTAATAAAATAAGAATTCACACCTAAAGCCAGGCTGGTTTAGAGAAAGAATTACTTACTGACTTAATCTCTGGAGTAAATGTAGTTGTAAAAATTTGTTATAAATGTACCACTATAGAAAATTGATTCTAGAATTCTCCAAAGTCTATACAAGGAGCACCTTCAGTTCTTCAAAGAAGTACTGCTTTGACAATTGTAGTAGCCTTTTTTGTTCAGTTCTTTCCTTCTTTCTTTCCTTCCTTCCTTCCTTCTTTTCTTCCCTCCCTTCCTCCCTTTTCTCTCTCCCTTCTTCCCTCCCCCCCATCTCTTTCAGGCTTGAACACAGGATTGGGCTTTAGCTTTTTTTTTTTTTTTGTCAGTCCTGAGGCTTGACTTCAGGGCCTGGGCACTGCCCCAAGCTTCTTTTGCTCAAGGATAGCATTCTACCACACGAGCCACAGCTCCACTTCCAGATTTTGGGTGGTTAATTAGAATTAGAGTCTCACTGATTTTTCTTTCTGGGCTATCTTTGATCTGCAATCCTCAGATCTCAGCCTCCTGAGTAGCTAGGATTACAGATGTAAGCCATTATCCCCCAGCTTTAGCTTTTTTTTTTTTTGTTCAAAGCTAACACTCTACCACTTGAGCCATAGCTCTACTTCCAGCTTTTTGCTGGTCAATTAAATTAACCATCCTGCTTGGGCTGGCTTGGAAGGAATCATGATGCTCAAATCTCAGCCTCCTAAATAGCTAGGGTTATAGGCATGAGTCACCAGTGTCCAGCTTTGCTTTGTTTTTACTTTCCAAGAGCACAATACTTTGTAGTTATAAGAACTGCTACAGCAGGATCTGACTGGACCTGTACCAAATGATCGAGTATATGGCAGAAATATGAAACTTGGAAAAGTTGTCAAAGTGTTTTGACTGTATTATAGTACATAGCTAAAAGAAACTCCCTTATTTTATTCTTTTAAAAACTCACTCTACTTTTCCATATGTCTTTCTAAATAAATATGTCTGGGATTAGATTATTTATTCTTCTTTCAACTCTTGGCCCTCAATGTTCAACCTTCAAACCACTGGACAATTGTTGCTAGTTATATGCTTCCTCTCCAAACATTTTATTGTTTATTGTATATCAGATGCTCTGATTTCATTTATTCCTCATAACTAGTGTATGACACAGAAACTATTATTATTCCCATTGTATGGAGGATGAAGTTTAGATCTAAAAATATTTAATTTTTTACCCAAGGTCACATAGCTATAGCCAGTGATCTTAAAACCAGGCTACATAAATAAGACAAAGGCTCTACGTGGCCTCCCTGATACAACACAGGAAAACAGACCTATAAATAAACTAGTGTGTTAAATGTTATATTGTCTGTGATAAGGATCTACATGGGGAAAGTGGGGAAGCTGAGAGAGAGAGAGAGAGAGAACCATTTCCCTGGTAGACTGTGGGGATAGATGTTTGTGCAAGTCTTCTAGACATGGCTAAGCTATGATTCATGACAAAGGGGTTTCCAGCTGAATGAAGGGAACTGAGAATTGCATCCCTGAAATTAACCCTTCCCAGTAAGAGCAATGCATGCATGATGGGAATATCACATACTGTTTCTTTTGGCTGGAACGTATGCATCCAGAAGGAAAGACAGAGAAAATATGCGGGGGAAAAGTTCATACACAGCTGAATTGTAGGGAGTGGGACTTGATCAGGAACCAATGGGGAGCCATTGAGGAGTTTTAAGAGGAAATGACATTTCCTCTCGGCACTGTCCCTGAGCTTTTTGCTTAAAGTTAGTTCTCTACCACTTGAGCCACAGTTCTACTTCCAGCATTTTAGTAATTAATTGGAGATAAGAGTATTATGGACTTTTCTGCTCAGGCTGGCTTTGAACCACGATCCCTAGATCACAGCCTCCTGAATAACTAGGAATACAGGCAAAGCCACCAGCACCAGGCTATTTTTAAACATTTTGCTACGTAAACATATTCATAACATAACACAATTTTAGCATTTTAAGTGCTTAGTTAATTATAGTCACAATGCTGTTTGACTATCTTCTCTATCAATTTCCAGAAAGTTTTCTTTTTATCATCACAAACAACAATTGTATACCTGTTTAGCACTAACTCTCCATTCCTCCATACTCCAGGTGTGTTAGTCACTATTGTTTCAGTCTCTATGAATTTGTCTACCTTGAGTATCTCATATGCATGAGATTAAATAGCCATTTGTCCATTTGTGTTTGGCTGATTTAATTTAGCATAGTATCTTGAAGTTCCTCCATGTGACAAGATGTTAGAACTGCCTCCTTTTGAGGATTGAATAATATTCTAGTGAATGTATATACCATATTTTGCCCACTAATTCTTCCACATCAGTAGGCATTTTCTTCTTCTAGCTTTTGGCTACTAGCCAACAGAATATTGACTAATAAGTACCAGAATCCTTGCTTTTAGCTCTTTACAGTGTATGCCTAGGATTACATCATAATTCTATCTTTAACTTTTGGGAGGAACTGGTACACTGATTTCCCTAGAAGCTGCATCGTTATGTTCCAATTAGTGGTTTATAAGGATTCCATTTTCTCTAGATTTTTTCTTTGGTGCCTGTCCTGGAGCTTGAACTCAGGGCTTTGGTGCTATTTCTGCTCAAGGCTAGTGTTCTGCCAGTTGAGAGCAGCTCTACTTTGGCTGCCTTTGAACCAAGATCCTCAGATCTCAGCCTCCTCAGTAGCTAATATTGCAGTCATGATTCACTGGCATTTAGCTCTCCATATCTTTATCAACACTTTTCTATTCTATTCATTCCAGTAGTGGAAGTACTATTTCATGATGATTTCATTTGTATTTTTCTAATGACTAGTGAGGTTGACTATCTTTTTATATGCTTCTTAGTCATTTATGTATCTTTTCTTTTTGAAAAATCTCTATTCAAGTCCTTATTGGCATATTTGGCTTGGGCTTTTTTGTTGTGTTATGTTGAATTATAGGTATAATTAGTACTTTTTTAGTATACAATAGCTCATCTGATCATCAGGATGATCAGATTTGTATTTTCTAATTACTACTCTGTATTTGGAGAAGAGTTCTGTTTGTAGCCCAGGTAATAGGGAACCCATTGATTTAAAAGCAGAAAGGGCTTAGACCAACAAGCAGATGAACTTTCAGGCTTATGTGGTAATGAAAACATAACAGAGTCTGAATTTAGAATTGTATTATTCCTCCTAAATTTATTTATGTATTTATTTATTTTGGCAGTAGGGGAATTTGAACTCA